AATCTGCCTTATGCAGATGACATAACCTTGCTTGCTGAATCTTTTTCAAGGAAGACTTTCCTGATGATAGGGGGTTTCTAATACTACCTAGTTTATTCTAGCAGTCTCAGCTGCAGGCGCTGTAGCTCCAAGGCCATTCGAAGGCCGAGGAGCATGCCCTCTGCAGTCAGTGTCTGACAGTGGCTAGCCAGACAAGGGCACTTTTCAGAGTGACTAGCCTGGCTATCCTGTTCCTCAGTGTCCTCCAGACTGTCCAGGACAGGGTTTGCCCCCACATTCCCTGTGGCTGAACTGCCTGGGGGCACACATTTAGCCCTGTGTCTGGTCCTGTGGCTCAGCTACGTGATGGACCATTTCCTCCATGACCTGGGCGCATCCACGTGGTTCACCTACCTGTTGCTCTGCCTGCACTCGGTGCGCATACAGCTCTCCTGGCACAGGCCTGCTGCCACTGCTGCTGCTGCAGTTATCAACCAGGTAGGTGACCAAAGGGCTGTGCACTCTGCTTCTGTGCTGAGGCCGACCTTGCTGCAGGCCTCTGTGCTGCAGGACCCTCGCAAGGCCTGGCACCTGGTCATCATGGTGTGAGTCCTCCTGACCTTCTCCTTCATCTTCAGCCCATGTCTCAGCTGTGGTCCTGGCACCCCCAAGTGGGTCGCCCTGCTCTACTATGGCCACTTCATCGCCATTGTGCTTTTGGGCTTGGTGGCCACGTAGATTGGACACCTTAGCCTTATCCCTGAGCTCGTCCCCAAGACCAGGGGAATATGGACCTCACAGCGCTCAGGTACGCCTTCACCTTGGTGACCAATATCACCATCTATGGTGCTGCCTGTTGATACCGTTTCTCAAGTGTATGCCAACCCTACTTCCAAGCTTGTTTTAATCTATGAACAGTGCTCAGGTGTTCCGTTTATGGGGTCGCCATGAGTCGTCTACGACTAGACGGCACCTAACAAAAAAAACGAAAACAAAGAGCTTTGTTGGCCTAGTGGACAGAAAGTTATGCTACTAAGCCCAAGGTGGGTGATTTTAATTTGTGGCCCTCAGGCCTGGTTCTAATTGTGGTTTGTGTTTTGTTGCTGTTGTTGTTTTATTAGGGGTGTGTGTGTGTGTGTGTGAGAGAGAGAGAGAGAGAGTTTATTGCGTATCTTTCT